TAACCACCAACAGCTTCAAACTTGGGAAAGCCTGGATTTGAATTTATCATATAAACCAAGTAGTGGCTCAAAACAGTGGATGAAATTACTAAGTCTATTACTTTTAGAGATGTTAGGTGGCATTTCCCAGGTATTTCTCCACAATGACCTCCAAAGCAGAGTCTTTGGAATCTTATTTCTGACTGTGCACAAAAGCCCTTCGAAGTTACTTACAGCATCATTTTAAATGTGTGACTTAAGCATACGATTCAGGAATAATGTGGGTGGGTGGGTGTGGAAGAGGCCCACAGAGATGACTACTGGTATCTGAGGTAGTACATGAGACAAGTGTTCTGAGTCTGCGGAGCAGGAAATTTTCAGTATTTGCAACAGATTTGGTCTCAATGGATGAACGATAGGCTAAGTTCTCTATTGCTGAACAAAGATTTATTGTGACTCCATGCACCCTGAATCTGTACACCCACTCAATCTATCCAGTACCCTACCAAGGAACACGAGAGCTGCTGCTTAGCCGCTGGTCAAACTAACGTTACAGCGGATTTCAAAATAGAAACTTCTAACTATGACTATTTCTACTCACAAAGACTTAGGTATCCATTTCAAAACTTTTTTTTTTAGGTTTTATTTTTAAGTTATCTGTACACCCAATGTGGGGCTTGAACTCAACCCCAAGATCAAGAATTGCATGCTCCACCAACTGAGCCAGTGTGACACCCCCATATCAAAACCTTGGAAAAGAATTCTGTAAGATAACTCCTTGTATCTTGTGAATGTGAGCAAAGCTCAGAGTAGCAAGACTCTTGCAATGGTAGCCCAGCCTCTCCCTAAAAAACAAAGTTGAAATGCTAGAAAGCAAAACGTATGACTCAGCTCACAGAGAAAGTGTTTAAAATTTTAGGAAAAAAACACATATGTAAAACTTGAAAAATGAAAATTTAAGAATCTTTCCCTATGATAAAGCTGTAATTAAATCTTATTTAACTGTTTCCTCTAATGACATCCATTTTTAATTAGATTTTAATAGACTGGCAGCTACAACCTATAGTTTTATGAAGCAAAGTAAAATTACAGTCTACAAGACATTTAAGGAAAGAGACCCATCAACATAGGTAAGAGATTACAATATACCCCCTCATCCCTAAAGACCCCCATGGTAATTAAGTGTGCTGAACAGAAAGCCATTAGGGCTAACAGTAGGTGTGCTCACCACCAATCGACACTGGGTTGTTCTTTGAAATCTAAGGATTATTTCTATGATCTGCTTTCTAGAAAATCTGCATTTTATAGAATAAAGAATGCAACTAAACAGGTGTATATTCTCTAGATCTACCAAATATGCACCTTCTATCACTGCAACGGGCTTTCTATCTTAAGATTTTATTTTATTTTTTGAAATTGGAGAGAGAGAGCATGCATGCACACGCACGTTTGAGCAGGGAAGGGGCAGAGAGAGAGAAGGAGAGAAAGAATTCCAAGCAGACTCAGTGCTGCCAGCGCAGAGCCCAATGTGGGGCTCAAACTCATGAACCACAAGATCATGACCCAAGCTGAAATCAAGAGTCAGACACTCAACCTACTGAGCCACCCAGGCACCCCCTTTAAGATTTTAACATATACATTTTCTCTTGCTGATCATGATACCACACGTACTCTGAGATGACTGCCGTATGGTTTAGAAAATGACTATCACATAGAAAAAGTAAAACTAATATTGAAAAAGATTCATATATAAGAATAATGTATCTGCAAATGGGATGCACTGAACAGGATCTTAATAGTATGCATCTGTATTTATTTCATACTACATTATGAATATCAGGGAATAAGTCACAAAAATTAACTCAGACTAAATGAATATCATAGGCACTTAATTTAGAAAAGAAGAAGTGAGCATAATTAATCCCTCTGTTCCCGAGGGGGAAAGGAATCAGGCCTGTTGCTACTTCAAAAAAGTTTGTATATACTTATTTGAAAGAGAGACAAAGTTATACAAATATATATTATGTTTTAAACTAATTTTCAAACATCAAGAGTTAAATTTTAATAAATCACATATACTCAGTAAGCTGTAAATATTGGGGAGGGGAATATCTGATCTTACCAAAAAAATTACATTTTGTAATCAGGCTGACAATCTGATGCCTCCAAATACCTCTGCCAAGAAGCAGAGTTACTTGGCTAAGATACTCTTACTTGTACACTTTCATCAGATTAAGGCTTTCATGCCAGGAATCTTTTTTTTTTTTTTTCCTGGTGTATTGGCTATTGCCAGAAATGGACCCATCGAATTCACCAGTGCTAAGGAGTTAAGCATCTGAGATTTAATTTAACAGTTTCAGCTTTATTAAGCTGTCACAGAGCGGCCCCACTCTGATAACAGTAGCTGCTCCAATTATGGCTTGGTTTAGGGTTGACAAGTATAATGATTCATTCGTGGCACATGAGAAGCAATAAAAGGTTGTTTTGCATTACAGCTTTAAAAATGTGGGCACTTTTTTCATTTAATTTGTCACTTAGCTTTTGCTAAGAGGACATTTAAATTGCAGTAAAAGGCAAATGGGGCTTTTAGTTTAAATGTAATCCCCATATTTAAATGATCTGTAATGGTGCAGTGTTGGAGTGGGAACACTATTGTCTCACAGTGGGTCCTGATGGTGACATGTGACATTTGTATTCAGGTCCTGTATTATCCATGTGGCTAAAGGGCTTCCAATTTCATTTCACAGCCAGAAGCCTGCAGAAAACACCAATTAACTTGCAGATCCCATTTGCCGACAAAACTCAGCCTCTTCTCAATGTCTGGCATCTGGCAGTGCTCAGCATTTAATTCCAAAGCAGAGCCTTGAAGCAATGTGAGCCCTGTGCAGGGGCACAAAGTCAAATTCTCCCATTTTATTAAGAAGCAAAATCCTTTCGTTTTGTAGTCCAGAAGCAACTTTTAGTTAATTTTTTGGTGAATGAATATTAAGATATGGTAGCTATTGTTACTTCTACATGGGATTCTTCACAGAACATAGATGCGGTTAAAATGGCTAGTGACCTCTGCTTGCCATCAGAGTACACAAGAGAATTTACAACAGTCTAGTAATGATTGGTGGGCGGGGTGGGATTTGTGAAAAAAGGAAATACAGGGCAAGAAAATGTATTCTTCATCTTAGACTGAAATCAAAGAACTTGAATAATATAAAGCCTGGTCCATAATCAGAAAGCAGTTCATCACAGGGTATAACTAGAATCAGCTGGTGGGAACTTCCACCTAATGAGAATTTATAATTCTTATTGAAGGCTGAGGCACATAATTTCCAAAACAACTTGGAATAGTGAGATGTGACTAATGGATTAAATATGAACACTGTAAGTTTTATTTAACTATATCACTTTTTTTTGTAACCAAAAAAATTAGTTTGCCTTCTCCTAATTAGTTATTTGTAATTCTAATTTCCTCCAAGCATCTAAGTTCTTAAAATTTTATTCATTTAGTATTAATCCAAAATTTTTTTCTTTAAATGATTCCCTTCATTATAGTTTTTTTTGTAATGCTAGTCCTTTTGAATGTCATAAACCAACTAATCAATTCAACATTTACTGATATATTGATTATAAAATAATTTTATAATCAGTATACATATACTGATTATAAAATTGAAAAAGGTTTACCTGGAAAAGTGTATCACTCAGTATCGTATAAAAATACGTTTAAACCATGCATTACACTTGTGTTCTCCAATCACCAGACCATGCTCCCAAACACTCTTCTAATATATTGAAACAATCTACTATAGTTACAGACTGATTTAAATTTTGATTGGGTTAGAGATCACTAACCATTACTTCAGGTGACCCAAGGAATGTACCAAGATTAAGTTATTACAAGATAGTTAATAAAAATACCAGGGAAAAAGGTCAACAAATACCTAACAGGTGGCAAGTAGCAGATATATCTGTCAAAAAAAAAAAAAAGAGCTGTCATCCATACCAAGTTTCTGAACATACATTCTATTAACAGGAAAGAGGAAACTCTAACGTCCAATTCTTTACCAACTTGCTGCATATCCGTAAGTCAGTCAATGCCATTTTCTGGAAGCCTCCTGAACTTCCCCAGAATTCAGTTTCCTTACCCATAAAACAGTTCACTTCAAAGGTCCCTTCCAATTATTACAATCTTGGGGCACAGACAAAAACAACAGCTTCCCTTGGTCTAGACTTAACATGGGATCAATCAACAGGATGTGGTGTATTATTAACCAAGAGAGAAAAAAGGTGAAGGTATGAAGAGTTATTCTATTCAATTTCAATGAAACTAGGATCTTCTAGTTATCACATCCAAAACATAAAATACAGGCATTGAGATATTTGTCAAAAGTTCCATTTTCCCCATGCAGATTTCTTAATAGAAAGACCACAAATGCATTAATTCCCTAGCAATGGGCACTGGGTAAAAATATTCATCTCCCCAAATTTCCCGGTGAATAAGACTAATGGATTTGTCATTTTTTTCAATCATTTTTATCAGAGATCTGGGAAGCAATAAAAATTGTAGTTTGCTGTATCTTTTCCATTCTGACAATCAAAAGTTCGTCTAAGTCTGTAGCAGCCAAAAAAAAAAATGTTCAAACCACTTTTGATACTTTTAATGTAGGCAAAGGAGGGAAAAACCCAAATTTTAGACGAATTGATTACAATATTATTCTAGAAATAAGTAACTAGCTCTACTAAACAAAATAACTGTTTTAAAACAACATGGCTTCTTTTTTCAAATATTAAAGCAGATTCCTAGGCTCGCTTTCAAGATCACACAATTTCCCCCAAACCTTCCCAAGATTATTTCCTGCAAATGTCAGCCCAAGTCCTCCTTCTTCTAACCAGGATATAATGGCAGTTAGTTCACATACAAGCAGCTCTCTCTTCAGCAACACTCTGACTATGCTTTTTTAAACACTCCACCATGATCTTTACCCATACACAACTCAATGGCAATCCATCAGGAAACTTGTATTTACCCAGCTCATCCCAGAGCTGCCTATATTTGTCAGTCATCGCAGTGCCTTGTTGCCTCCAAAGTGACAGACGAGGGTCAGCCATGAATTGCTCTGTTATCAACGTCAACATGCGGGCCCCATTAGAGTCCCTCATCTTCAACATCTCCCGCACCTAATGGGGAAAAATCAGACCTTTAGAAAAGTGTTCAAAAATACGCAGCAATACACAAACAGACCACTTTATTTCTTTCTCTGGGGTCCAGGGCAGGTAATTTTTGACACCAGCCCTCTTAAGCAAACAAAAGTTTGTTAAAAACTGGTCTCTATCCTAAATGGCAATTTAATCAGAGAATTAACTGTTAATTTTTTTAAAACAGGTTTCATAATGCACATGAGGAAATTTGGTTACCTTCCCAATTACAAAGAAGAAATTTTTGCCAGCCTACAGAAACATACCAAATTAAACGAGACAAATAATTTGGCACCTTCCTGACTCTTCCAACTGATTGTACTTACCACCAGAATAGACAAGCCAAAAGCAGTCTACTGATAACTCTTTAGGGATCTTCTAAATCGACTAATGTTTATAATAATAACATCTGTCTTTCTGTTCTTAAAAAACTGCATTATTGAGACATAATTCACATACCATACAATTCACCAATTTAAACTGTACACTGCAATCTTTTGTAGTGTATTTCCAGAGTTGCGAAGTCCTTCAGTTTTTGAGGTAAATCAGAATTTTGGTACATTCTCACACCGAAGTTTTCTGACAAGAAGAGCAACATTATACTTTTATATTCACTCAGATGGGACTCTTTTTGCAATAGTCAAAGGAAATGGACTGCATCACAGGTTAAAGAATTCTCTTGCTCTAAATGAGAGATCCAGGAAGCAGAACCATAACCTGTGACCTGGTAAGCTAACTCCGCCTGTCAAAGCTGGAACTTAAAGCTCTGTCCACTACTCTTATGCCAAATTCTCCAAATAAAATTTTTAAAAAGGGGGGGAGAGGGGACACAAGACTAAGTCTCTTTCGAGAAAACCCTAAATAAATCTATCAGTCCCAAAAGTGTTTACTGCTATGTGTTCAACAAATAAGAATCTGAGCTGAACACCACCAGTTCTCCCTACAGGACATTACTTGAACAAGGTCATAAGCAGCAGAAAAAGAGAGGGGGTCCTTTTATTCAAGGTTCTGTGTGAAAGGCAAATGAAGGAGGAAATGGCAGATATTCAATTAAGCAGCCTAAACCTAAAGATCCACAGATCCTGTGTCAGGCTTGTACCCTGACAAGTAATGGAACCCCATCACAGGCTTTACATTTGAGCCTTGCAAAGAACTCAAAAGCACTTTCACCCTAAATCACAAATGTTGTGCTTCCAGGATTATTTCAATAATCTTAAAAAGTTATTTCCCATATGGAAGCACTAAACAGTCATGAACAGATGAAGACTGCGAGGAAGAAAGGGAGTTGCTATTTACTGGACATCACGCTAAAGAGTTTTTACATTTGTACCTACCAGGTATTCTTCACAATAACCATATAAATTAGGCCAGATTATAATCCCATTTTATGAATTATAAAACCATGCTTCAGAGAAATGAAGTAACTTGCCCAAAGGACAAGAGGAATCGCTGGGATCAGAGCCCAGATCTGTGTTAACTCTATAAGTTATGCCAAAAAATTAAAAAATAAAAAAAGTTATTCCATTTCCAAAATTAGATGATGTTACTTCATACAGCATATATAATGTATACATCATCTACAGGGATAAAAATAGCAGATGTAGGCCTGTCTAATACCTCTTTCACTTTGCTTCCACTAGGCCAAAGTGTACTATTCATTAACATGAGAATCTATGAAATACTTCCTGTGAATCAAAATATGCCAAACCTTTAATATTACCACTACATCATGGATTTGATTTAATGTTTCTTTTCCTGATAAACTTCTAACCTATTACTCAGCAACAGCAATGAAAATAAACGCTTTACTCTTAAGCATATAAACCACAACTATTAAGCAACACTCAAGTACACCTATAGTCTAACGGTAATTAATTTTCAGAAGGCAGACTCTGATCTACTACATGAGTTTGACTACCTATTAATTACCAAATGATGATTAAATCACATGTGAAGTAGTTTTAGGGTTAAATGTATTTTACTGTAATCTAATTCTCGGAAAATTGACGATCTATATTTAGTAAATGGGATAAATCTTTGGCAAGAGAATACTGATTAATCAGAATACACTATTTTCTGAACATGACCAGTAACAGAATATATGCTAATTCTTCAGAGTTAAAAAAAAACAATAATTATTATAAATATTAGAAAAGCTTTTTTAACACAGTATTGATGAGTTGTCAAAAGTATCGATCAGTTATCTCTTCTGTTAAAAACCAATTTGAATACATTAGCCAGAACAATAGCTATATCCCCTATAAAAAGAGAGTGATTTAATATGACTAAAAAAGCATTTTACCCAGTATTGAAAATTGTGTTTATGGGTACTAAAAGTTCTGTATAAAGCAACAGACATAGCTTCTACTCACACAGAATTTATAACAATGATAACTATGTTTCCTGGGCCATCAAATTTTGGTGATGAAAATTAACATTTACCAAGGCTAAAATGACATGTTAGACACCATTACATTTACTCATAACTTGAGGGAGATGTGTTATCATTAACTAATTTTACAGATGAGGAAATGGACTTAAATAACTTGCCAAAGTTCATACATTCAGTAAGATTTAGAATTTAGATTGAAACCCAGGTCTGTATGACTCCAAAGTCCCTGCTTCTGAATCTAATTTAAATACACTGACATTATTAAACTAAATATATAATATCTCACATGCATGTATAAATTGTTCAAAAATAATTATGTAAAATTTACAGAATATGGATTAGAACAGGAGATACTTCGGAACTTCAAAAAAACCCCTTAAATATACAAAGCACATTATAGGGACTGTATTCAAAGTTATGCTCTACTTGAGAACATTAACTAGAAAAAGTAAAAAATGTGAAAAGATAGCATTTTTAATAATATTAAGCTATTTACTTTTGAGTACTGAAAGGTTTTTCAAAATTGTATAAACTGTTACCATTTTAGTAATGGGAACTGAGAGAAACAAAAATGCTCCACATCTTGTCTACGGACACCTAAGTAAATTAATGCATTACAACATAATAGTTTCTAATTGGTTGGTTAACTCAGACTCTATTCTTCAAAAAAATAATTTAAAAAGCCTTTATTCTAGTGTACACATAATCATATATAGATACTTTCTATATATGTATATATTTAGAATATTTCTTTTAAGCAAAATCATACCTTTGCAAAGAGCAAATTAAGCTGCTTCCCTGATCCGTGGTACCCGCCCTGGGAAAGGAACAGTTTAACCTGTTCTTGAACCTGCTCTTCATCTAAGTGCCAGCAGTTTTCATCATCTATACTAGCACCTGCTGTTGGATCAGGAGCACCTAGAAATAGAAAGAAAAAATAACACATATGCTAGATAAAAACTCTGTGCTAAAGGGCTCTGATAATAAATTTGAGAAGAATTAAGATTCTGTACTTTTTGCCTACACACTTTTTAAGCCAATCTCAATTTCAATTATACATACAAATTTATGACTGAAAATAAATATGAAAATCATTCTCTCATTTCCAGGTCTTTGTTGATTTGTGCTAAGCTATAATGCAGATTACTGTAGAACTGAGATATTTTCTTTTTAAAGATCAGAAACTAAACCTTTGCAGATGAGTTTACACGTCTAAAGAATTAAAAAGTCACAAAAAGGTCTTATTGTAAAATACATGATTGTTGATAAAGCTCTACTGTGTAGAACATGTTAGGAAAGTTTTGAAAGACATGAGAAAAATGTGAAACCAAGTAAACTGAGCAGAGTATTTCTCTTTACTATGTTAATTCAAGAAGCTTTCACTGTTATCTGCTGCTGTATAAACTACATGCTGACATACTCTTTAGTTGCACAAAAACTGAAGATTAAAAAGGGAAATCAAGCCACATGGGAACAGGCAGTGCAGCTGTTGTACTAAACCAGGTTGTAGTATCACCTTGCCGAACTGCATAAATATTTTATTGCTGAAGCACACACAAAAGGTAAGAGCTATGTAATAAACCCTCCACGTAGACTACCTTAGAAACTCAAACATTATCCAGATATTTAGGCAGGTAAAAATTAAGTTTCATTATTTATTCAAAAAGTAAAATGGTATTTAAGGCCTAAGATGTATAAGTAATATAAAAAATTTAAATCTAAAAACTTTTCATCAATAGTGTTTAATCTCCTTATCAACCCTTAAAAAACACATTAAAAGTCTGGTTTCACATTCCTTTCCTTTTCTTCTAATAATCTAATAATGCAAAATGAATTGGCCAAGGAAACAAACACTAACATCTGCTTAGAACCAGGGTTCATTAGTTCCTAAGAGGAAGGATGAGTCTGTGAATCTCCCCGAAAAGGTGCACATTCATTTATTTATTCATTGAGACAACATATTTACTGAATGTCCTCTGCTAGATTTGGGGATGAAATTGTGTACAAAAATAGAACTGCTATCGTCATATAATTTACCATAAAATATTTTTGACTAAGACCAACAATAACAATTAACATCATGCCCAATATATTTGTATATCCAGGTGTTTATGTGATCACATCTATTAATCTGAAGCAAAAGCATGATGGAAAAAAGACCTTTAAGTGAAAGGCTCTGATATTCTCTATTTCTTTTTTTGAAAAGGGCTTATCATAATTTTTAAAACTGATTTCATAACCCAAAACGGGTTGCAACCCACTATTTGAGAAATACTATTTTAAGTGAGATAAATATCAACCTAATAATCACACATATAAATACACAATAATAAATGATAATAACTGTTCAAAGGAAGCAACCAAATGCCAGAAGACGGTATCAGAAAGCTCTGACTTGGCCATGGATCACCAGGGTAAGCACACCTTAAGGAAATGGAAACTGAGTTGAAATTTCCCTTACGTAGATTAGAGGTTAACTAGAAAACAGGAAAAGGAAGGAATGGGTCTGCATGTGAGACTAAGAGCTTAAGCAGAAGTCTCAGGTGGGAAGGAACACAGAACACAGATGAGATAAAAGCTAGTCTATGTTCATACAATCCAAAAGTAGAGGATGAGGAAAAGACAAATACAAGACAACCCAGAGAAGAAGGGCTAGACCTTGAGAGCCCTGGCAAGTGAGTTTAGATTTCTCTTCCCTAAGTGTAATAAAGACGAATTCCTGACAAGGTCATCCAAAGGAGAAGAATGAAATACTCTAGATAGTAAAGATGTTTTGCTCTAATGTGCATCAATTTCAACATTCCTACGATGGAACATATTCAGCCACAAAAATGAATGTGGAGAATCTCTATGTACTACAATGGAAAAATATCCAAGATATGCTGTTGAATGAAAAAATAAAACAAGCTGAAGAAAAGTATACATTAAAAAAAAACTTTATGTAAATAATGAAGTTTTAGGAAAAGCCTAAAACTTAGCATTTCCTTCCACATGCATAGAATGGGTAACCTAGGGGGCACCTGGGTGGCTCAGTCGGTTAAGCGTCCGACTTCGGCTCAGGTCATGATCTCACAGTTCGTGAGCTCGAGGCCCGCGTCGGGCTCTGTGCTGACAGCTCAGAGCCTGGAGCCTGCTTCACATTCTGTGTCTCCCTCTCTCTCTGCCCCTTCCCTGCTCATGCTCTGTCTCTCTCTGTCTCAAAAATAAACAAACATTAAAAAAAAAAATTAAAAAAAAAGAAAAAGAATGGGTAACCTAGGTACACGAGGGAAGAAAGCTCTTCCCTGCACCTTTTCATATTTTTAAAATTTGAGAACTATATGAATATATTTAGGTACCTAAAAAATATCTCTCAAGTGTGGAGGATGGACTAGGAAGCAAAAATACATAAGAGAACAGTGAGGATGATGTTTTCATGGTCTGTACAAAGGATGATGATGGTAGCTTGAAAAACAAGAGTGAGAACAGAAATGTAGAATCTGACAGGAATTCAAGACATAAAAGCAAAGAAGTGGTAAAGAAGTGGGTATGTGAGATTTGTAAGATCAGGGAGTTAGGAAAGACAAGGTTTCTGGGTTACACAACTGGATGATGGACAACTCAATGACACAAAGATCAGAGCAGAACCAGGTTATGGGGTGGGAGTGCAGTGTTTATTAGGTCATGACTTTCAGACAGGGTGAATTTTAAGTACCTCTGAGATAGCCAAGAAGAGGAGAAACGATTTCAAGTAGGGGACTGGACATTTTACAGGAGACTCTACAGATAGGAAGAGTATCTAAGATAGGGCCCCAAGGAAGGCCAATGTTTAAAGACTGGGAAAGAAAATGAGTGAGGACGGCAACGGGAATGAGTGGCCTACAAGGAAGAGCTGGAGAGACTGGTTCTTCCAGAAGTAAGGCAGAGAAAGTTGTACCAAGGAGGACTTGGTATGTAGTAGATATTTAAGCTCCAGAGAGCAAGGATGGTAGCTGCCCTGCTCACCACTGCTTCCTGACACTTAACCAGTTTTTGCCTCTATCAGGCAGTCAAGTACTGGAACGGGGGAGAAGGAGGGAGGAGAAAGACATGTGTACATTCCTCCCCTAAGAGAAAGATTCCTATCAAAGAAGAACCGCTAAAGCATTTTCACATTTATCTCATTTTTGCCTTACAACGTCCCCTAGAGGTGAGTTAAGATCATGATCCCTATTCTACAGAAGCAGAAACAAGTTCACAGTGATTAGGACTTGTCCAGAGCCACAGTGCCAAATCCACAGTCTCCTGGTTCTCTCCCCTTCTGAAGAATACATCCCAGAACCTTGAAGCTAAAGTTGAACCCTGACGACAAAAAGACAGGCATTGTCAGCCCTAAATCAAACACAAATCTAAGGAAAGATACTGGGATGTTCGCAAGCACTTATTAACACATTTCTCTCTTTCACAGGAAAATCTAAGGACACACAGTGCTGTGAAGAGTTAACTAATGGGGCTACATCTGTATCCCACAGGGACTGAGAGCCCCTAATCCAGCCCATCTCCTTGATTCTAGAGAAAGAGACACACACAAATACAAATGCACAACGACAACTAAAGATTCATCTTTTTTTAAGTTTATTTTTTTAACAGAGAATGCATGCATGCCCAAGTGAGTAGGGAACAGGCAGAGATAGAGAGGGAAAGAGAATCTCAAGCAGGCTCCACTGACAGCAAAGAGACTCACACAGGGCTCAATCCCATGAACCATGAGATCATGACCTGAGCCAAAATCAAGAGTCATGTCTTTAATAGACTGAGTCACCCAGGCACCCCTATAGATTCTTTAAATGCACCAGAAGAGACTTGCCCAACAAATCAATGATAGGATGTCAACTTTCATATTTAAGCTTTCTCCAGTATCTTGCTAAAACCCTCCTGGGCAATCTGACACATCCTTCTTTAACCTCTTTTTAGGGAAAATTCTGACAAGCTACTGATTATCTACTCTTTGCTCCTTCTGATGAGCTGAACTAAAGAAAGTCAATTTCTATCCTCACAGTGGTTACTTCCCCCAGTACTCCTCACTTTTCAGTTGTTCTCTATTGGGCACTGAAGACCAAGACCTACAAGGAATCCTGTCCCTAAAGGACTGAGATGGGGACTGACCGTCCTGGTGTAGTAGAAGGCATGCTACCCTTCACTGCTTGGGTCAGAGCCATGTTGAGACTTGGCTTTTCTATATACCACATACATTTCCAAATATTTTAAGTAGATTTCAATGTGGTTTAGAGGAAAAAAACCCAGTCTTATTGGCCTAAAGTGGCAAAGGGGTCAACATTCAGACACTCTACAAGAACTTCAGGATATACTCAACTCTTATTTTTTTCATACTAAAAGAGAAAAATGTTACAAAGAATATTCCAGAAATCATGTTTATTTGACTTGAATTATAACAACGAATTTTTCCTTAAAATTCAATATGTTTTAAAACACTCGTATTTTTAAAAATATGATAATTTTTTATGTTTCTTTAATGGGATATTTAATTTACACACAGATATTCTTGACTAGCTGGGAAGACATCTAAAAGAAAATGTATAAATATATGAATAATGTTTCTCAAGTTTTTAACAAAACTGAGGGTTTTTCAGTTTTCATGTTGAGGGCAGGAAAAGCAGGTTAGGTTTGGTAAGCTAGTGTTAGAATTAACGTATTTCTTAAAGAGTGTGGGGGAAGGGGGAGACACTGCAGAGGCAAAATGGCCCAGATAAAATTTTACTGCAAATAATCTATCTAATAACGTCTACACACGAGCCGAGAAGACCTAATCCTAGATCAGACCTCGGAAGACTTCAGTTCTAGGCACAGCTTGGAAAAACTATGTACCCTCAAGCCTCCCACTTCCTCAAACCTAATACTGTATAATGGAGGAATAAAAAATTAACTAGGTGATAAGAATT